GGAAAAAAAAAAAAAAAAAAAAAAAAAAAAAAATCAGAAGTAAACAAAATAAAAACTAACCTTAAAAATTAGATAATTCTTATGGTGATGATTAGCGTTACAAAACTATTCTGTTTATAAAAAACTACAAATCAGTAAGAAAAAGACAAACAACTGAGTAGAAAAATGTACAAAGTACCTGAACAGACAGACAGTTCAGGGAAGAGATACCCAAGTGGGCAACAAACATGAAAAGATGCTTCACTTCACTAGGAATCAGGAAAATGCAAATCAAAACAATTAGATACCATTTCAAAGCCATCAGATTGGCAAATTTAAGTCTTACAAATAATAAGTTTTGGCACAGGGCTTGATGAGAGCACCAACACTGAAGAGTGTTAATCTTGTACACAAAGTTTACGCTAAGAAATGTGTACAACTACATGTATGGGAGGAAGGATAGCAAGAGAAAGCAAAATGATTGATATAGTGATCTGAACCTAATCCTCATTTTCTTTTGTTATAGAATGGTCTTGGAGACAATCAAAAGAAGGTTAAAAGGTGAGTCTCATTATATATTGAACATATTTTGAGCTGAAGTTTTATTTCAGACTTAGTTTATCAGCCTTATTTATTAAGTCTTCAGTATTTGTAGAGTATTGTACTCCTTATTTGAGTAGAATTTCAGAAGAAGCTGAAAACTTGAAATCTGCAAACAAATCATTTCAAATGTGTATATATGTGCAAATCTTTGCATATATGTGCACACTACACATAAAGCCCTGTGGGGATATTGCTAGAGTAATTAGTTAAGGGCATTATTTTGGATGAGGAAGTGGGCTTGGAGAGGTCTTTGCAAGAGAAGTGCAATTACTCTGCAGACAAGAAGGTAGGGTAAAAATATTGTAATAACTTGGGTTAAAAAAAGATCAAATGTAGTGTAAATTATGGTGAATTGGTTTCTTTAACTGAAGAGAAAAGCAAGGATGTAAACACAGTCAGAGATGAGGGTGAGAGGGCAGCAGGAGCCGTTATCTGAACAGGAGATAGATGTGTTAAGGAAAGATGACTCCTGATGTGGATGTTTGGATGGAGAGAAGTGAGGTCTACATATGAGATGATTAGGACTTCAGCCACGGTTGTTGCAGCTTTGGGGCAGAATGAGGAGAATCACGAGAAAGACTGTAAAGGAAGAGAGGACACAACTACAGGAATACTTACAGTGGCTGGTCGAGAGGGTAAAGAAGAGGTAAAGGAGAAAGGATGTGAAGATTGCTCCATTTTGGATGGGACACAGACAGGAATCATGGCATCCATGGTGCTTAGGGGGAAGATTAGTTTTACGTGGTGTTTGAACTTCCAGTTGCAGGTAGCTTATCCTGGTGAGCGGGAACAGCCAGGATTAACACGGGTGCAAGGCATGGTGCTTAGGGGGAAGATTAGTTTTACGTGGTGTTTGAAGTTCCAGTTGCAGGTAGCTTATCCTGGTGAGCGGGAACAGCCAGGATTAACACGGGTGCAAGGAGACGTACTTCCTGAGGTTTTGAATCTGGAGGAGGAAAAGGAAAGGCTGGTGGCACACCAACAGTGAATATTTTAAGTTGAAAAAAGGAACCAGGAAAGGGATGAAAAATAATTAGAGGACAGAGGAGAACTATGAGTGTATAATTTTATAAAGGAAAAGGTTAGCACTTGCTACCCTGTTATTCTAATAGTTGGCTTGAAATGTAAAAAGCATAGTGCCAGGTGTAAAACCTGGTCTAAATGAGTTGTACTTGATTTCAGTCTTATTTGAGTTTTACATTCTTCTCTTAATTTTTAGAAAATTGGCACCTAGATTTGACCCTCCTGAGTTAATAGAAAACAAGTATACTGTGGACTACAGGTAAGATGGAACTGTGAAATAGAATTTATTTAAAGATATGTTTATGCATTTGACAGAAAGCTTTTTAAGGGCCTGTTATAAGATTAAGTTATATTTCCACGTGATCAGTTTAATTGTTTTAGCACAATCAGGATCACAAAGGATCATTATCTCTTGGAGAAGTAAGCTTTAAACTAATGCAAATGGAATGTGGTAAATGTTGACCTCTGTGATGCTTAATGTGGATTTCTCTGACATCTTATGGAAATTTTAAGTATTGAAAGCAAATGCTCCTGTAAACCAGTGATTTTCCAAAAAAAAGTATTCCTGCGGGAATCAGAATACACCCACTTGAATCTGTTTTCTGTTTTCTAGCTCTATACCAGACTACACTTGAAAAAAGGGTTCCTCTGCCCTAGACAACATACTTGGGTTTAAATGAAATATCTGAATCAAAGGAGGCCTGTTTGCACAGGGGGACATTGAATATAAGTTTTTTTAAAAAATCAACACATATTTATTAAGAACCTAATATACACCTGGCACTGTGCTGGGCATTGGGTTTGATAGTAGGAACAGATAGAAACAGTTCCTCCTCTCATGGAGTTTTGTGGGGATGACCAACATTAAATAAACAATTATGTGAAAAGTCTGTAATTATAAAGTATGGTCAGAGCTCTGAAGGAAAAGCAATGGCATGGTGAGAAATGGAAACAGGAGGGGTGAGGCAAGGCTTCTCCGAGGTCACCTTTGTGGGGAGGTCTGAAGGGTGAGTTAGCACAGAGAGATGTGGAGACTCTGTGCTTGTAGTGTGGAAGGACGAGCCTGTGGGCAGATGAAGATGGAGAAGGTGATGTGAGTGTTTGAGAAGCAGACAGAAGGCATGTGCTTGGAGTGCAGTGAGCAAGAGCACAGTGCCATGAGATGCGGGTGGAGAGGCAGGCAGGGGCCATGTCATGGGGCACCTCATAGGCTGTTTAAGGGCTTTCTGGTTTTTTGCTGAATGCAAAGGTAGGCTACTGGAGGGTTTTGGCAATAGAGAGACATAATTGGACGAAGTTTTCATCACTCTGGTTGCTGTGTGGATTATGGATTGCAGCAGGGGCAGGAGAGGAAGTGGGGTGTCAGTAGCCTGATGGAAGTATAGGCTGGTGTGAAGATGTTGGAGAAGGAGAAAAGTGGGCAGATACCAGTGATATGTTTTGGAAGTAGAATNGAAATGGAAACAGGAGGGGTGAGGCAAGGCTTCTCCGAGGTCACCTTTGTGGGGAGGTCTGAAGGGTGAGTTAGCACAGAGAGATGTGGAGACTCTGTGCTTGTAGTGTGAAAGGACGAGCCTGTGGGCAGATGAAGATGGAGAAGGTGATGTGAGTGTTTGAGAAGCAGACAGAAGGCATGTGCTTGGAGTGCAGAGAGCAAGAGCACAGTGCCATGAGATGCGGGTGGAGAGGCAGGCAGGGGCCATGTCATGGGGCACCTCATAGGCTGTTTAAGGGCTTTCTGGTTTTTTGCTGAATGCAAAGGTAGGCTACTGGAGGGTTTTGGCAATAGAGAGACATAATTGGACGAAGTTTTCATCACTCTGGTTGCTGTGTGGATTATGGATTGCAGCAGGGGCAGGAGAGGAAGTGGGGTGTCAGTAGCCTGATGGAAGTATAGGCTGGTGTGAAGATGTTGGAGAAGGAGAAAAGTGGGCAGATACCAGTGATATGTTTTGGAAGTAGAATCAACAGGGCTTAATGATAGAATGTGGGGCCTGAGGGAGAGGAGAAAACCAGGTAGGTTATAAATGTAGGCGGGCTCAGACATATGCCTGTTTCTCTTATAATAGCTTGGTGGTAGCTGTGGAACACAGCATGGTGATTCTTTCTAAAGTTTTATACTTGGCAATAGGATTCTTTATCATGGCTTTTATACAGCAAGGAGATGACTGACTCTCAGGGCTGATCTGTTATGTTGGACTCTCCACGAGAGGAGGGTGGGGAAGGTCTGCCCTTTCTAAGTCAAGAGTTTCTGCAATGTGGACCTTTCTTATTTGGGAGAGTATCATGTTTGTTATACAGTCCATTTCACCAGTGACATTAAAGGGAAAGGGGATGGGGAGAAGGAAGGAGGCAAACACTGAACTTCAGAATAACTGTGGTATTTATCTTTAAGGTTTGCCAAAAATTTTGAAGAAATAAATCTAATTGGTAAAGGTGGGTTTGGCCAAGTTTTCAAAGCAAAACATCGAATTGATGGAAAGACTTACGTTATTAAACGTGTTAAATATAATAACAGGTAAGTAGCAAATGTTTATTTTTTTGAATGAGAAGTTGTGTTGAACCTGCACTATTCTTTTTCATGTTTCTCTCTTCTTTTTTAGTATATCATTTACTTCTTTCTGGTCCTCCTTAAACATTTCATTCTACCAAGGGGAGCTTGGCTTACTCTGAAATGATCTTGCTTTACTGTGGTTATTTCAGTAACAAACGGATATACCATTGATCATCCTTTTGAGGCTATCCTGAAAACTGAAGTTATGAAATCATTTGGTTTAAGGTGACCTTTGAGATTTTCTAGTTTAATTTCCATATTTTGCAGATGAGGAGACTGAGGTCCAAAGATGTGAACTGATTTGTGTAAGATAGAATCTAGTTTTAGCTAAGATAATTGTTCTGGTTGTCTGTTATTGCATAATTACACTGCTCCAAAATGCAGTGGCTTAAAAACATCAATTGATTGTTATCTGTTATGGTCCTGTGGATTATTGTGCTCATCTCACTTGAGGTCTTCCAGACATTTGCAGTCAGTAGTCATCTGAAAGCTTGTCTAGGCTGGGTATCCAAGCTGGCTAGCAGTTGATGCTGGCTGTGAGCTGGAAATTCAGCTGGAATTGTCAACCAGAACACCTCCACATGGCCTCTTTATGTGGCTGGGGCTTCTCACAACTTAGTGGCCAGATTTCAAGAAGTATTGCTCCCAGAACAAGTTGTCCAAGAGACCAGGAGGGAGTGGCAAGGCTTCTTTTGACCTAGTCTTGGAAGTTCTAGAATGTCAGTCCCACCAGATTATATTGGTTAAACAAGTCACTAAAGTTAGCTTGGATTCAAGGGGAGGGCAAATAGACTCTACCTCTTAATTTGAGGAGTGGATGTCTGTATGGGAAGGGAAGGAAATGATGACAGCTATCTTTGGACATAATCTACTGTGTAACACGATGGAGATTTAGAACTCATCCTTTGGAATGCCAATCCCCTGTGTTCCTACTATCACCCATTGTTTCCCTCCTACTGGATAGCTGAACTCCTACAGGAAGGAAAACATTCAGGAAGGAGGTCTCAAATCAAATGTTCACCAGTTCACCAATCTTGCTTCTTGTTGTCTGGCAATTGTTAATATGTGTAACTGGGCCAGACTGGTCCCTCAAGGACTACGGAAAAGAGATCTGGGCAAAGTGAAATTACATGAGCACAGGAAAGCTGGCATGGAGTCCTTGGTGCTCTTCATCTCAGACAAACAAACCTACTTCCTGTCCCATGAGCAATGCCTTGCATTTGAAATACCTTCATACCTACCCGGCATCCAAACAAGGCTTTTTCCTTCTTGTTTTATTTAACAGAAATGAGGTACTGTTCTTCCTTCCATTAGATAGCAGTTTTTGAAAAAATGGTAATAATATTGATGAAGGTACATATCTTGCACTTGGAAGGGCCAGCCCGTGGCTCACTTGGGAGAGTGTGGTGCTGATAACACCAAGGCCATGGGTTCGGATCCTTATATAGGGATGGCTGGTTAGCTCACTTGGGAGAACGTGGTGCTGACAACACCAAGTCAAGAGTTAAGATCCCCTTACCGGTCATCTTTAAAATACACACACACACACACACACACGCTCTCTCTCTCTCTCACACACACACACACACACACACACACACACACACACACACACACGCATACACACTTGAAAATATTAATCAAGAACCATAAAAATGTTCATATGATATGGGCCAGACAAAAAAAATTTTTTTAAATGTTTATATGCTTTGACCCAAGGATTTCCTGTCTAAGAACCTGTTCTAAGAATATTACCTAAATTATGACCATATAAAAGATATAAATCAGTGTCATATATAGCAGTGAAAATTAGAACAAACAAAATATCCAGCAATAAAGAATTGATTAAATGTTTATTTCTCTTCCCTAATCAATGGCTATTTTGCAGCCATTAAAAATGAGGGTTATATACTGAAATATTTACACATGAAATGATATGATGCTGGAAGTTGTTTCAGAATAATCCAGGGGAGAATGAGAAAGTAGGTAAGAGGATAAATGAAACAAGATTGGCCGGGAGTCAATAACTGTTTCATTTGGGTGAGGGCTATGTAGGGATTCATTATACTTATTTGCTCTATTTTTTATGTTTTTGAAACCTTACATTAAAAAGTTTATAAATGATGTTTATATAGATTGTGTTACAACAAGAAAAACTGTGAAGATAACATGGTATGTGAGAAAATAGGATAAAAATTATATACTATAACTACAAATATAAAAAAATGGGTATGAAGAAAGGCTATAAGAAATAATCCAAAATAATAACTGATTGTTTTAGGATGTTGAAGTATCAGTAATATACTTTTACAGATTCTATGACATACAGCTTTTTTAGCTAAAAAATAAAATTGTAAAATGTTTGCTTATCCTTCCTCATCTTTGAAATCTCAAATTTGTTTACTCCATTTAGCATGGAATTGTCTAAGCTCTTGACAACACATCCATATAAAGTTCCCACAGTATGCAGTGAAATCTCAGTTTCTCTGCATGAATTATCCTCTTTCTGTGTTTTTGCCACATATTGAAAATTCCAAATTAAGTTCTTCATGTTTTTTGGGTTACCTACCCTTGCTGCCCAAATGGGGTTTGCTTGTGAAATCCAAAGATTTTTTTTTTTTGTCCTTTTTGTGACCGGCCGCACCACGCTCAGCCAGTGAGTGCATCGCGCCGGCCATCCCTATATAGGATCCGAACCCGTGGCGGGAGCGCTACCGCGCTCCCAGCGCAGCACTCTCCCAAGTGCGCCATGGGCTTGGCCCGTGAAATCCAAAGATTTTAACGCAAGTCTAAACAAAACATAATGTATGATTTAGCTATAAAAAAATTGCATCACTAGCGTTTCAAAGACTACTACAAATGATTTTTAAATTGTCTGATATTTGGAGTTAAGTCACTGCTTTTTCTTTTATGTTGAGAGTGAGAACAGGTATGTTTTTTTCCTGTATGTTCCCTTTTTCCTTTTGAGTTCTCCTGGATTCCATTCTAAAATTCAGTGTGGGAACCATAGCAACTGTTTAATAAGGGAATGGAGACAGCCGTCTTCTTTAACTTGTGGTGTTTTGTGGTTATTATCAGGGATGTACACTGACACTTTCATGTTCCCTGTTCCTTTTAACTAGGAAGGTAGAGCGTGAAGTACAGGCATTGGCAAAACTTAATCACGTGAATATTGTTCATTACCACGCTTGTTGGGATGGAGTTGATTATGATCCTGAGTACAGTGATGATGATACTGAGAATAGTGATGCTAATCCTGAGAAGAGCAGAAATAAGTTAAGGTAACTAAAAAGAAATTCTCATAGCAATAATAAGATGGAAGAAAACTGTCATTTACAATGTGCAGGCCATTGGTTAAGGCCATTAATGATCATATTTAATAATCACAACCACCTCTAGTAGACACTGTTCTCTCTCCATTCTGCAAGTAGGGAGTCAATGAACAATCTTTTCCTTGCTCCTCTCCTTGCTCCAAGTTTGTTATTAAAACCTTTTCCATATCTTCAGCTGTTTTCAAAATCTCAGGTTAAGCTTTACTGATTCCATTGTTTAGTGTATGGCCTTGCTCATGTGCCCCGGCTCCAGTACAGGCTGTAAATGCAGCCTTGTGAAGCAAGTTTTAACATACAGATGCTGCATCTGGGGGCTCCCTCTTCAGCTGCCAACACTTTTCTGTCCTTCCTTTAGGCCTGTGATGGTGTGGCGCAGTCAAAGGGTTTCTTTGGAAAGCATCTACACAACTTGTAGTAAACTGAAGCTTAACTGAGACAAAATGTGAGAGAGGCAAGGTGGGGTGTCCCATCACAGCTCATGCTTTTAGTGTTATTTTCGCTGGATTGATGAGCACTGAAAATAACATTAAAACCTAAGGGATTTAAGGGCACCCCCACCTTGCATCTCTCACATTTTGTCTCAGTTAAGCCACTTCCAAAGGACTGGAGAGTCTAAAGAGATGGTATCTGCCTTTGAAAGTCACCCAGCCTTTCTTGGAGACAGTCCTCTCACTGAAGTCCTGAGGCCACTTGGGGACTATTCATTTATCATCTCCTGCCTCCAGTCCCATCTCCACCCCATGCTTTTGATAACTTTATCATTAATTTCAGGATTCAGCTTTCAGCAAATTCTTAGCTTCGTCTTCCTATTTTCTAGCCAACATATATACAAAGACTATAAATTAATATTGAAGCCAACTTAGTTCAGAAAAAAAAAGTAAAACATGATTAGCAAAATTAATCCTCTAATTTACAGCTCACAGCAATTTGTTGGCACCTCTGCTAGTGTACCTATCCTTGTACTACTGTTTTAGGTTTTTCCTTTACCTCTCTCCTATTAGACTATAAGCTCCATAACAGCAAGGATAGTGTCTTACTCATTTTCTCATCTCCAAGTTCCTGTTTTGTGCCTTTCACAAAATAGATGCTCAGTAGATCGATGGTGACTTAAAATGCTTAAAATTACTTTATATAGTAATGAAATTTGATTTTCTGCAACTCCATTGTACTAATACTTCTATTCCTATCCGTTGGCAAAGGCGATCAAGTATCTTCAGCATTAAACAACAGGCAGGTTCAAGCGTTCAGTACCAGCCAGCCACCAAAAAAAAAAAAAAAAAAAATAGGCAGGCTCATACTTTATAAATTAGCAAAACATATAAAGCTCTGGACATGTAGATACTTTCTATTTAAATAAAAAAGTGTTTATTATGTTTTGATTCACATTTATTTATTATATTTAGATTTCTGTTTTGAGATATGTTTGGGGGTTCTTAAGAAGATAAGGTATAATTTTTTAAAAAATTGATTCTTTATAAATTTATTTTTATTGCTACTCTTACCATACTGTGAATTTTATATCCAGACCAAAAACTCAGTGCCTTTTCATCCAAATGGAATTCTGTGATAAAGGGACATTGGAGCAATGGATTAATGAAAGAAGAGACAATAAACCAGAAAAAGCTTTGACTTTGGAATTGTTTGAGCAAATAACAACAGGAGTGGATTATATACATTCCAAGCAGTTAATTCATAGAGACCTTAAGGTAAGTGGACAATGTACTTTGTTAGTTGATAAATATAATTTAGTAATTTAAAAAATCTACCTTCTCTAGTTTTAAAATTGTGATTGATTCATAGTCATGAGAAAATAATATCTGATCCTCTGAGGTTATAATGGGTCATACCCCAATTGTAAGCACAAATAGATTTCATATACTGAATATTTCCATCCAAGTAATTATTGTGGCTGGTACAGCCAACTGGCTGCTCTGTCCCTGCCTCTGCTGCTACTCAGGCTTGTTTGAGAGGCAAGGGACTCTTTGTCGGCTTCGGCTGTGTCTTTGGGAACGTGCTTCTCTAATCTCTCAGTCATTACTCTTGAGGGCAGTCACAGCTACTGGGTCCAGAGTCTAGTATTTTCTTGGTTTAGATAATTCAGCCCAGTGATTGGAAAAGTGCAATGATTTAAAGCTTGGGGCATGTATCCTTTGGGAACGTGCTTCTCTAATCTCTCAGTCATTACTCTTGAGGGCAGTCACAGCTACTGGGTCCAGAGTCTAGTATTTTCTTAGTTTAGATAATTCAGCCCAGTGATTGGAAAAGTGCAATGATTTAAAGCTTGGGGCATGTATCATCCTTTAGTATTTTCATTTTCTTCTGGCTTTTGTAGTCTGGAAAAGCAATTTTCCCATTTTTCCTTCTCATCAAAATGAATGAAGAAGAGAGACAGAATGGCTTTTCACAGTCTCTCCTCCATACTTTATTCCCCGTGATTTGCCTTCTCCCCACCACTAACTAACCATGCTGAATCCTACCTGAGCCTTTGCTCTTGTACTGCTCTTGTGGAACACTCTCTGCCTGTCCCTTTGGTCCCAGTTCCTGTATTTATCCTTTCCTAATCACTCTGGATCTGCCTTTGCCTATTGTAGGCAGAGGATCCTATCTGGATCTTGGCTATCTGTTTACCCCACCTGTCTAAAACAGCCAGGAACGAAAAATGAAGTGAAAAAGTTCCTTGAAAAAAATCAGCACCCATAGTTGTTTGTTGAACCTATATAGGAATTACTGGCCCTTAAAAAGTATTGCTTCCTTGCTCTGTCCAGGGACTGGATGTCTGATGTTTTGGCGTTTGAGTCTGCCTGGTTCCAGTGTCTCTCTTTCATAGTATCTGAAGGTGTTCTTTGAAGTTGGGACATTATTGAGACTGTGTTCAAAAGGATAAATTTAGAGTGGCTATACCTTCACTTTGGAATAAATCATACATATAGTTAAATACGAAATTAAACACAATTATTTATATATGAGGGTACTTCCAAAAGTTCGTAGAAAAATATAATTAAAAGATAATATGAATCTTTCCATGAACTTTTTGAAGACCCCTCGAGCAATAATTTGCCAATAAATACAAAAGTTCAGGTATTAAGTTCCTGGCACTCCTTAGAGTGAATTAGTGAAATTCTGACTAGTGCCTACCTACTCTTCTGTCAACTCTCTCCTGTATCCCACACTGTCTGTGCCCTGTGCCCTGTGGGCTGATCTTTTCTTGTGTCTATTTGCAGAGAATGTTTGCTCTGGCTGCAGTTGCTCAAAGGTCATTCTTCAGTACTGAGTCTTCTTTCGTCTTCTGCAACTTTTCTGGCTCCCACTGCTACAGTTGCTGCTTTCTCTCATCTGAGAGGAGATGCAAAGGAAGGTGTACACTTTTCTGGTTGCTTCGCGAAGTACCAGCTGTGGTGGTTTTGCCAAAGAATGGTCTTTACCGACACAGCCCCTCTTATACAAAGTCCACCAGTGTTTACTGCTTCCTGTCGGAATCTTAAGAACTAGACCACAGGTGCTGATGAGGGACCATAAGGGTTTCTGGAGCGAGGGCTGACTACCTGAGGCTGCTTCTCCATAGAAGGTCCAGTCACCTAATAGGCCCAGGCTCTTTGGTCAGCCTTGGCCTGAGCATCAGCCCTTGCTCTGGTGCTTCCTATGTAAAGTTTGTATCCCTTTTTCATGCTGTACAGCCTTACATTTTGTCTAATCTTACCATAACTGGTCAGACAAAATGTGGCATTATTGTTTTTCTTTTTCTCTTTAATGAACTATAAAAAGCAATCTGATATTTTACTAGGTAGTCCCATCCAGCTTAGATATTTAGACAGCATCATAAATTCAACCTCCTGCTCTCAGAGTCAGGTGGTAGCCTTACACGGGACTAGCAGTTTCACTTGCAAACTCAACATGTTCCTACATCAAAACTTGAACATAGCATAAGAACATTTTCTCCCATACCCACTCAACACACATCTATAGCCTCTGTCTGTATTTTTGGCATTAGGTTCCAATCTAACTGTTAATTGAATTCTAATCTAACTGCTCATTTCTGCATGGCCTTTTCACACTGGCTTCTCTTTCGGCCTTCTCTGGGCTTATGGTCTCTTCCCTCTGAAATTCCTTTACTAGATTCTCTCATAAGTGTTATCTCTTAGGCTCTGTGTGTGGATAGCCCAACATTGTATCGAAAGTTTAGCCTTGTTAAGAATGGCAAAATATTAATTTCCTCATCAACAACCTTCCTGTTTTCATGGTCATTAGAATATTGGTCAGTAGTTTCTACAAAACTGTGGAAAAGGGATGACCACTCTGTTCGTCCTTTTCTTTCTTTCTTTTTTTTTCGCTTTTTTTTTTCCTTTGGTGGCTAGCCAGTAAGGAGATCTGAACCCTTGACCTTGGTGTTCTCAGCACCATGCTCTCCCAAGTGAGTTAACTAGCCAGCCCACTTTTTTTTTTTTTAATTTGCTTAAAGAATTGCATGGAAAAATATTTCAGTGCTAGTTATCAGTTTCCAGTTAACTTGGTATGTTTTCGAGGTGTAGGGTATATGTTTGTTAAGAAGTTGTCAGAGGCCTGGAGAAATTGACATAAAAGGTAGCCCCAGGAGAAATTCTGCTCAGGATGTTCTGCGGTATTATGGGGAATGGACTCATTCAGAGAATCTCAAAATTGGGAGTGGATCTTAAGGGTGTCAGCTTCAATCCCCATCAGATCCTGGACTCATATTCGTAACATTTCCTCAAGTGTATGTCCAGCCCCATCCTGGAATGGGGAACTCTCTAACTCTCATTCTTTGGCCCTATGATTAGTATATCAGGATATATTAAAGCAAATCTTTTGGTCATTTCCACCCTCTAGCCATGGATCCATCCACTTGAACCATGAAGAGTGAATTTACCTTTCACTTTGACAGCTTTTCAGGTATTTGAAGACAGCTATACCCAAAGCCATCTCTGTGGTCAGCTAAAAAGTCCTTACTTTCTTCTGTTGGTATTTTAAAAGACCTGAGATATTAAATTTTCTGATTTGGGCTACCTTGTGTAAGAGTAAAAGTCTTACAAGTAGATAAAAACAGCCATTGATAATATGACTCAGGCATGTGATAACAGTCTGTCAAATCGGGACATATAAATTAAATATTATTTTTTTCCACAGCCAAGTAATATATTTTTAGTAGATACAAAACACATAAAGATTGGAGACTTTGGACTTGTAACATCCCTTAACTATAGTGAAAAGCGGACAAGTAATAAAGGAACTTGGCAATACATGAGCCCAGAACAGGTAAAGCCCCTTTCCTTTCTGTCTATACTATACTTCTTTTATTTTTTTTATTTTTTTATTTATTTTTATTTTATTTTTTTTTGGTCTTTTGTCTTTTTCCGTGTCCGGCAACGGATTGCAACCCTCAGTGTTGCCCCCGTACCGGACCGGGGACCGGCAACGGGATCGCAACCCTCGGTGCCGCTCCCGTGCCTCGCTCAGCCAGTGAGCAGGAACCGGTCTGTATGTGGGATCCGAACCCTCAGGCGGGAGCGCCGCCGCACTTCCCAAGCGGCGCACTATCCAGTGCGCCACCGGGCCGGCCCTACTTCTTTTATTTTTAAAATTATAAAAATAGTAAACACTTATAAAATTAAAACAGAAGTGTATAGAATAAAAATTGAAAACTCCCCTTAACCTCCCTCTTCATTCCTACTCTTCTCATCAGAGTTTGTTCTTTATCCTTTTAGATCATTTTCTGTGAGTTATAACAGCAAGCAGGAATACACACACATGCATGCATGCAAACTTTTTTTGTATAGTATACTATAATATTATTTTGTGACTTGATTTTTTTCACTCAATGATATATCATAATCTTTCCATATCAGTACAAATAGATCTGCCACTTTTTTCTTGGTGGGGGGGAGGGTAGCCAGTACGGGGATCTCTACCCTTGACCCTGGTGTTATCAGCATTGCACTGTGACCAACTGAGCAAACCGGTCAGCCCTCTGCCACATTCTTTTTAACAGTTGTATTGTATTCCAAAGTACAGAGATACTACAATTGATCTATTTCCTTTTTGAAGGGTATTTATTTAGATTGTTTCCAATTTTGTACATTTACAGACATGTTATATGTCTTCCTCCTTATCTTTGGGTCCAAGAACAAATATTTCTATGATAATCTATGGCAGATTCCTTGAGGTGAAATGATTGAATGACAAGTACATCTCAAACTTGATAAATCCTGCCAAATTGTCATTCAAAATAAGTGATTCTAATAAAACTCTCCCACCAAAGTGTATGAGAAAGCTGCTTCCTCATACTTTCAATCAAACCAGGGTACTATAGTCTTCCGTTTGGGCCAGTGTGATAAATGAGGAGTATCTTGTTGTGTTAGTTTGCATTTTCCAGATTTTACTAAGACACACCATTTTTTCATTTATTTACCTAAATATTTTTTCTGCAAATTCTCTATTCCTATCCATCCTTTCTCCATTTTTCATGATTAAGTTTTTTTCCCTAATGTATTTGTAAGCAATCTTTACATATTTTGAGTATTGATTCTGTATCTGTTAACTATCTTGCAAAATTTTTCTCCTGGATTGTTACTGCTTGGTTTATGATTCCATTTGTGGCACAGAAACTTTTATTTATTTATTTATTTTAAAAATGTATTTATTTATTTAATAGTACACTTTTGTGGGGTACCATTTGTTGTTTCAATATATCCATATATTGTATAGTGATCCTATCAGAAATAGTTAGCATGTCTGTCACCTAAACATTTATCATTTCTTTGTGATTATAACATGCAAGATCCCCTTTTCTGGCTATCTTGAAATATACGAGACAATATTATTAGCTATTGTCACCCTAGAGCACCAGAACTTATTCTTCCCATTTAACTGTAACTGTGTAACTTTGTACCAGCTTACCAACCTCTCCCCAGTCCCACAGCCCCATTTCCCTTCCCGTCTTCTTGTAACCACTATTCTATTCTCTATTTGTTATAACATGCAAGATCCCCTTTTCTGGCTATCTTGAAATATACGAGACAATATTATTAGCTGTTGTCACCCTAGAGCACCAGAACTTATTCTTCCCATTTAACTGTAACTGTGTAACTTTGTACCAGCTTACCAACCTCTTCCCAGTCCCACAGCCCCATTTCCCTTCCCGTCTTCTTGTAACCACTATTCTATTCTCTATTTTCTCTTTTCCTTTTTTAATTTATATTTTCTTAATTGATCAATGATAAATGTATATAGTAATGGAGTTCTTCGGGAACATTTATACAGTGTGCGATGATCATATCCAGGTATTTAGTATATCCATCACCTCAAACATTTGCTACCTCTTCATATTGGGAACATTTAAAATCCTCTCAATTAACTGTAGTTTTACAGTAACTTGTTGATGACTGTAATTTCCCTGTATTGCTATAGAACACTAGATCTTCTTTTTCCTGTGTCTCTACAATTTTGTATACATTGACCACCCTCTCCCTACTCTTCCTCCCCTCTCCCCTTACTAGTCTCTAGTAACCACTATTCTCTCTACTTCTGTATGATCAACTTTTTTAGCTTCCACATATGAGTGAGAATATGTGGTATTTCTCTTTTGCACAAAAGCTTTTAAGTTGTCATATTTTTCAATACTTTTTTATGTAAGTATTTTAGATTATATTTTGTGTTTTTACTAATACTTTAGTCTAATTTGAATTAATTTTTGTATAGGTATGAGGAATGGATATAACTTGATTTTCCCCATGTGACTATACAATTGCTCCATTACCATGTATCATATAGTTCATGATCTTAAATATTATTTTAAGGAAAATTCATAGAGACAGAAAGTAAAACAGAGGTTACCTGGAAGGAGGGAGGAATGGGAAATTATTGTTTAATGGGGACAGTTTCTGTTTGGGATGATGAAAAGCTCTAGAAATAGATAGTAGTGATGGTTACATAACATTGTAAAGGTATTTATACCACTGAACTGTACATGTTAAAATGGTAAATTTTATGTTATGTATAGTTTACCACAATAAAAAATACTATTTTGTCATATATGAAATTCCCATGTACTCGTGGATCTGTTTCTGAACTGTTCTGTTCCATTGATTTACTTTATATTTTTCTCTTCAATATTATACTGTTTTAATTACTGTAGCATTCTAAAGTAGGCTTTAGTATTTGAGCAGCAGGACCTCCCATATTATTCTTCAATTTTAAACTGCTGTTAGCTATTCACATTTATGATTCCAAATGAACTCTAGAATCAGCTTGTCCTGTTCCATAACTGGTGTTGAGGTTTTGATAGCAATTGCGTTAAATTTGAGGATTCAGATGAGGAGATGAGGAGAACTGATATCTTCATGTATCTGAGACTTCTCCAGGAAATTGGTATATTTCTCCCACTTATTGAAGTCCTCCATCAGTTAGCTTTTGCCAGCCTGTGCTATGGTAACAGATGAGCCCCAGTTTCCTAGTGGAATACAAAACATTAAGGGTTTATTTTTTGTTCACATGACATGTTGGCAGCAGTTTTGAAAAAATTTTTTTTCTTTATGAAGATCGTTTATATTTTTATTTTTTTGCTGGCTGGTATGGGGATCAAACCCTGGACCTTGGTGTTCTCAGCACCACGCTCTAACCAACTGAGCTAATTCACCAGCTCTGTTTATATTTTTAAAGCTTTCCCCTGAATATGTTTAGTGTTTTACTGTTAAAATAGGATTCCTTGTATCTAATTGGTTATTAGTGAATTTATTGATTTTTTAAAATATATTTCTTTTTAATTGTGGTAAAATTTACCATTTTAACCATTTTTAAGTCTCTAGCTCAGTGGCGTTAAGTACATTCACACTGTTATGCTACCATTACTACCATACGTCCACAGAAATCTTTTCATTTTGCAAAACTGAAACTCTATACCCATTAAACAACTCCCCATTTCCGTCTCCCCACAGCCCCCAAAAGTGGAATTATGTAGTATTTGTCCTTTTGTGACCAGTTTATTTCATTTAGCATAATATCCATGTTGCAGCATCTGTCAGAATTTCCTTCTTTTTAAGGATCAATAATATTCCATTGTATGAACATACCACAATATGTTTGTTTATTTTCTTGTTGATGGACATCTGGATCATTTCTAGTTATAAAATATTGTGAATAAATATGTTATAAACATTTCCATGCAAGTCACTACTGGGCACTATTTTAACTGCTTTACCTGATATGTCTCATTTAACCCCACAATCAAACTCTGAGGTTAATACTATGATTATCCCATTTTATAGTTGAGATTATTCCCATGTCGATGGTTAATGTACACAGATGATTCAGCTATTCAGTGGTAGAAATTTGAACCTGGACAGTCAGACTCCAAAGATCCTTTTAACAAGCAGACGTTATTGAGTGATATAAGATATTTCGGTCAAATCATTTTTTTGGCTTCAGAATGCATGGATATTTATGTCAGATAAATAACAAAGAAAAATATATTTTGGTCTCTTCAGATTTGTTCACAAGAATATGGAAAGGAAGTGGATATCTATGCTTTGGGGCTAATTCTTGCTGAACTTCTTCACATATGTCCCACCGTTTCAGAAAGAAAGAAGGTAAATAATCTCAAATGAAATATGAATTTTCTCTCTTTCAAGTTTTGGCAACCATTTTGTTAAAGACCAAAAACTTTGATCATCTTTGGAAGGTGTGTGCACCTCCTAAGACCCCTATTGGAGTCACTCAGTAAAATTTTGATCGACGGCTTTGCATAAGACAGTATGCTAAGTTATAAAAATGAACAAGATTTTTTCTCAAGACACTTATTTTCTAAAAGGGAAGAGAATGTAAAAGAATGCTGTAAGTGTTTTCGGAGAAGGCATAAAGTGTGTGGAAGCAGCTAGGAGGGAGATCTCTCCAGCTATTGGGATTTAAGTTTTATGGAGACATGTAAGCTGGGCTCTGAAAGATCAGTTGGCTTCTAATAGTCCAAAATAGAAAGAAGGTGATACCAGCATGGAGATGGTAGAATGTGTTGTAGATTTTAGAACAGCAGGCAGTCGTTTTATTGGGGTATATAAGTTACAAGGAAGAGGCAGCTTATGGGACTGGAAAGACAGGCTGGGGCTCAACTGAGGAAAAGAATATGGAGTTTCTTGTGTAGGCAGTGGGGAGCCACTAAAGGCAGTAAGCAATTGGATATAATCCTCTGAAGCTCAGGAAAGGGAACTCACCTGGAATTGACAGCATTATACTCTGTAGAATAGGGGTAATGGAAGTACCTATCACAATGGGTTCCAAAAAGGATGAAGGGAGATAATGAATATGATGCACTCAACCCTTCAACACATCATAATTTTAAGGATGGTTGTTAGATTAGGGGTAGGGTGAGGGAGAGGGAATCCTGCTTGCTTCTTGGCTAAGGAGACTTTCCCAAGGATCTAGAAATATTCTAGATGTAGGGTATTTTCTTCCTTTAGTTCTTTCTAAGCTTGTTTTTCCTCCCAAATAAATAATTTTCTAATAAGTATATATATATATATATATATGTTTTATTTCAGATCTTCGATGATCTAAGGAAAGGCATCTTCTCAAATCTGTTTGATAAAAAAGAAGTAAGCACTTGAAAATAATCAGAATTTTATTTATTTCAATGTTTTATTTCTTAGTAATGATTCTTACTCTCTCTACAGGAAGCTCTTATACAGAAATTACTTTCAGAAAATCCCAAGGAACGACCTAACACATCTAAGATACTGAAGACCTTAACTGAGTGGAAGAATGTTTTAGGGATAAAGCAACGAAACACGTATTAGGGCCCTTCTGAAGAAGTATCCTGCTTCTGATATATGATTTTCCTTTAATTATCTAAAGTCTGCTAGGAAATATCAATAGGTATTTACCTTTTATTTTGATATTTTTCCCCTTAATTTTTTACTACATTTGTAGAAATGTTATCATCTTTTTTTTACTTCAAGAACCTTCTTACATTTGACTTAGTCCTGGCTCATCTCTTTATTCTGAAGATGGCAAAAAGCTCTCAAATCATCTTCTTTATACCAATTGTTGAGTTCACTAATGTTTGCTCCACAGTTATTCTTTTTATCTTAAATACATTTTTGTGTCTATTATTAACACATACTTTAACGAAAAGATAACTGTGCTGTAGGGCAATAACTAAGAACAAAAAATAGTCTATCTGAAGGGGCGAGATGAGATCACTTTCTACTGAGCAGAGGGCTTAGAAGTGACATTCCAGGGAGCCTTATAAGAACATGAGGGATTTTGATGAGTAGAGAGATCACCCAGGTAATCTGGGCAAGGGGGATGGCATGAGTTCTGGAAAAGATGTATTTGAGGAACATTGGGTATGCTTGTTTGTTGCCCTTAATTGCTGTAGGGAATGCTGTAAAATAGTTTGGATTGCATCTTAGAAGACCCTGAAGGTTAGTGTAAACTTTACAGCAATGAACTACCATTCTGAAACTGCCACATAATTTTATAATTTTAAAAATTAGCCTAATTTAGGCTAAGTAGAAAATGAGTAAACTCACAGCAAAAGGGAATACTTTTATAAAGGCCGATAGCTATTTTTTTAACAAGTGTTCAGGAAAAGCATTTTCAACTCCCTCTGCAGTACTTAAGGCAAGGTTCATCAATGGATGCTAAAACTTGGATAAAAAGGTGTCGGGGAACAGGATCTTCACAAGGGTTTAAATATAATCTCACAGATGATGTATCATGTATAAAGGAGAAATGTACTATGATGGTAGAGATCTGTGGTCACCACAATAACCAGGTGATTCAATTTCCCATTGCCCAAGGTGGAACAACCTAAAATTATACTCCTCCTGATGTGATATAAGAATTATACAATATCACATATTTAGTTTTCCTGCCCAAAGTGTTTAACTGGAATTCGATAATAAGGAAATTATTAGACAAATCCTGAATGTAGTCATTCTAATTAAGGTAATTGATTTGGGCTTCTCAAAAAAGTCAATGTTATGAAAAAAAGTGGGTAACTATTCTAGATAAGAGATTTCAGAGATGTAATGACCAAATGCAATACTTGAATCTTTATTGTGTTCTGGATATTTAAAAAGAAAAAACCCCAGCAAACAGCTATTAAAGACATTTTTGGGACATTTGAGAACATTTGAATAGATATTAGATGACAACATAGAATAATTGTTAATTTTCTCAGGTGTAATAATAGTATTGTGGTCATGCAGAAAATATTTTAATCTTAGGCAATGCATGCAGAAATATTTAGGGGTAAGATGTCATGATGTCTGCAAATTTTAAATGTTCAGCAAAAACCAATGTGTGTGTGTACATGAATATATACATATATATATAGAGAGAGAACACAAATGTAAAATGTTAACCATTGAACAATTGGTAAATCTAGGTGAGGGTATATAGTTGTTTATTTTATTATTCTTTGAACTTTTCTGTAGGTTTGAAAATTTTCTGGGTGGAGAGTAATCTTTAAAAAAACTATGATGATCTGGTTTTGATGAATGAGACTAAGAAAAACTAAATAATGTGGCCAGTTAGAGAAACTGTAGCCTTATTTTTACCTTCTCTCATTTTATTATTTCTACTCTTATGAAATAAATATAGCATCTTTAAGCAGCTTTTATTTGTGAGTATATATTTTCTCAGCCTCAAAAATAGAGTAAATGAGACATAGTCTCTTAATCAGAAGAGGAGAGGGGCAAGAGCCACATACTTTATTTGCTAATTAAAATGCACACACATGCAGAAATTTTGAAAGAACCATTTTGATCTATTTGCTTCACTAGAAACAGACACTGTAGGGAATTTTTATCACTAAGCATACATTTATATTGAATATACACATATTAACATAGATACATATACATAACACACACGTGCACACTTAGCACATTTTTTATGCTAAATATATCTAGCATATATA